CTCCTGTTCCCTGCCTTACGGGGTTTGCAGCATCCAGCCCACCGCAGATGCTGCACCTTCAGAGTCTTCATAGTGCCAGCATACTCCTCAGCTGTCCCGACCTCAGCTCGATGCATCCCTTCGCTGGTTGCTGTGCCAGGGAAGGAGCCGCTGCCCGAGAGCAGCAGCACTGCGCAGGGCTGATTGCATCGGGTCAGCGGAGGAGTGAGCAGATAAGCTGTCCCCAGGGCACTGCGAGCACTCATCAGCCCTTCGGCTGCTCACAGTGCGGCTACAAGTCTAAGCCAGCTCTCGCCTGCTAAATCTGCTGCGATGGTTTTACAGCGGTGCCTGCCAGCACTGGCGGATGCTGCGGTGCAGGTCAGACCCCGATGAGGCCGCTACCCCACTCCCCCCATGCAGATCAAGACAAGACAGCACAGGAGCATCTCCGGCTGCTGGCTGCTCCCGGGGAGCATTTGCAGATCTCACAGAAAAACTTTCAAGAGCTGTTTGCTCCCCAAAGCCATGTGCCAGGCAGAGCTGGATGATGCTCACAGCATGAAGGCGGGCAGGGGGGGCTGGGTCCCCTCTGAGCTGTGCTCAGGGTGGGCTGAGCTCCCCCTGCTCAGGGAGGGGAAGAGCCCTGCAAAGTGGGAGTTTCTTTCAGCAGAGGGGAACGTGTGCTAACCCACCATGCGCCAAGATGCTTTGAAGTGTTGTGTCCTCTGTGGGATGAAACCAGAGGATCAGCATCACCAGCCAGGGCTTAGCAAGGAAGGAGCGCAGGGGGGAGGAGCCTTTCCTAAATCAGCGTTATTCCTGTCCAGCTGTGATGTCTGTGCTCCTTTCCCAGATGGATGAAGAGGTACCATCACTCAGAGTCTATCAATAAGTGTCTTTCAGAGGGTAGGGAAGGGTGTGCTATTTTTACCTTTCCTCCCCAGGGAGATGTCCAGTTCAATGTAAATTGCTTCAAGCTTTCATTCGGTCAAGGAAGCTCTTCCTAGACTCGGACCTGGGAGGAGAGCACTTGGAGAGCAGCTTCACTCCTGCAGCTGTGAGTCCCACAGCTCAGACCCAATCCCAGAATACTCCAACCCTGCATGGAGCTGCTGGCCCTTGAAGGAAACCAGTCCCCTTGTGCCACAGAAGGGAGTTTGCACCCCCCGGCCAAAGCTGAGCCCATCTGCAGCCCCTGCATTTACTTGAGCCGTTCACCACCACGGGCACAGCCAGCGCTGAGCCCTGGGGCTGTGGCTGGAGATCACCGTGCAGGGACCGTCCCTGGGCTGCTCAGTCAAGCAGCAGGGTGCTGCCCATCCGTTGTCTCCTCATCCTCGGACGGGTATTTCATAAGAGCTCACCCACGTACAGGGAGCTACCTGGGTTTCACTACAGGACAAGCTTTTTGAAGGGTCCTTCTTGTGTTTGCCTCCACATGCTGCAGTTAAGTAAACATTGACTGGCTCCCGCTAGCCAAAGATTTTGTCAGACCACTTCCATTCGCCTGCTCAAATTCTTGCTGCTCCCAACTAATATGTAACTCGGGGAAGCAACATTCATTGTTCCCTGTGAAGAACTGGTTCGCTCTTGCCACATACTTCTGCAAACCTGTTCTGGGCCAGCTCCAGGAACAAGTGCTTTCCATTAACATCATCTTTCCAGCCATGGCAGAACTGGGCTAGAAAAAGGCAGAAGAGGTAGGCAGAGTTTTCTGCTCTTTTTAAAGTATCTTTGGAGCAAAATGCAGCTGTTTTCAGTTTTCTGAGCCATTAACTGGAGGTGCATTAACTTCTGGAAACCTTTGGGGTCCTTTCCAACCCAGAGAGTGAATGTGTTCAGTGTGTCACATTTCCTTTTGTGCTTTTATGGTCAAATCGCTGCTCTCACACACTGCTTGGCAGGGCTCAGCACCACTGTAATGCATCCAGATGGAACCCCTGCCTCCTGCAGAGCAAGACTAACCTGGGCTGCTGACACCATCCTGAAGGGCGACACGAGGTGCTCACCTTGCAACATCTAGCTCACAAAAGCCAGAGGCTGCAGTGGAAGGAAGCCTGGAGGAAGCCTTGTCGCAGAGGTAAATCCAGGAGCATCCCTGGAGGGGCACCAGATGTAGGGGACAGGAGCATCCCTGGAGGGGCACCAGATGTACGGGATGGGCCATCCCACAACACAGGGTCTCCTCTAGAGGGACAGGGGTTGTCACAGCTATTCCACCCTCCGGAGTGGGGTTAGCAAATCCTGCTTTCTGCCTTGCAACAACCTTCACAAGTTTTCTTTCCCTCTTTTTCATTCCTGGGCTGCTCCAAGCGTGGGCTACAGCCCAGGAGAAGACTTCTTCATCTCATCTGATGAGATCAAGGTGGCACAAGCCTTTTGCAGTGTGGGGCTGGACAGAACTGGATTGACCTGAGGTCTTTGTGTCAGAACCGTCTTCCTTCAAACTGTTCACTTTTGGAGCGTGTCACTGGCCTGAGGGAGATTCCTGGGGTGATGCCGCATATGGCTAATGCCTGTGGGGATCAGACACCAGGCTAGAAAGGACAGAAAGGTCTCAAGGCATCTTCTGGAGCACTCTCACTACAATAAAACTCCCTGAAATTCAGTGAACAGAAGATAAAGACTCAGAAAAAACAAAGGAAATTAAAACTGGATACAGCTGTGGGAGCGAGAGGGCACACAGAAAAAGGTCCTTCCCTTCAGAGGGTGGTGAGGCTCAGGCTAATCAGAAAACTGGCTGGAGCAGCTCCAGCATTGTCAATGCTAAACCTCAGGTGGGTTCATCAAAATGTGGCTGAACTGGGGAGCGAAGAGCTGCAAACTTCTTTTTCCATCTTCTGTCCACCTCCTCAATCACTGCAGTCCTTTCAAAGAAGACTACAGACAACGGTACCCACCCAACGGGCTGCCCCACAGCAGGCCAGGCGCTGGGCACATTTCTGAGCCTTGTGTCACCCATTGCAGGACAGGGGCAAGGGGAGACCACCTGTGTACAGACCAGCCCAGCCTGCACCCAGGGTTCAGGGCTGGGGAAGCTCTGGGCACTGAGCTCGGGGTGACTCCCCAGCTCGGGTCCCAGGGATGCTGCAGGTGCTGAGAAGATCTCTAGGAACTGAAGGCTGGGTTGGACAGCAAGGGATTTTTTTTGACTGAGCACCGATCACGTTTTCTGCATGTGGGGTGATCAGATCCTGAAAGAAGCTGCACCCTAGTGCTTCCCTCCAGTGGCAGGAAGGGATCCTGGGCTGGCAAAGAGCAGATTGTCCCCCAGGCCCCAGAGGATGATAATGCACAAATAAAAGATTAGTTAGTTATTTGCATTATTTAAAAGCCTTCATTGTTCAGACAAGGGGGAAAATACATCTCCTGGAACAGGCAGACCCTTGCCATGGAGAGGGGACAGCACACACTGAACAGATGGCTTGCACAGTGCTCTCTGCTGCGTGTTTGCAAGCAGCTGGATAAGGTTTGGAGAGAGGACCACGGGGCGGTGCTGGGCAGCCTCCACTGCTGTGTGCTTGTTGTTTGTGAGATGCACACGGTGGGTGGCAGGCAGGTGCATGGTGACTTTCAGCACCTGGGATTGCCTGGGCAGCAGAGGAAACACTCAAGCAAGGCAGGTAATGTCCCCCATTCCCTCCAGCCATCACCCCACTCACGGCAGAGTGGTGGTGGGCCTGCCTGGGTGGCAGACGGGCCCTGGGTGCCCTGGATTTGGCAAGGAAATGGAGGAGGACATTCCCGGTGTGACCCTTGGCATCCCCTGGAGCTATGGCCACCTCCAGCAGCTGGGCACTGCTCCAGTCCCTGACGCTGACCTCGTGCCCAGAGGTCCTGTCTCAAGCTCTGGCATCCTCAGCATGGCCAAGAGATGGGGCAGGCAGCTGCCAGCCCACAAGCTGTGCAGTGCTGGTGTCTTGGGATGGCATTCCCACAGCCAGTGCTTCCCTGGCTGCTCCACCTCCCCCAGACTTTCCCTGTTTGCCAAGCATGCACAGACCAGAGAGGCAGGAGAGGAAAGATGTGTCCAGTGTCACACAGCAGCCTGGGAGCAGAAAGCTGCAGTCCTGGGTCCCGCAGAGTGGTACCGTCTGCTCAGAGACAAGCCAGGAGCTCTGGGAAATGCTGCTTTATTTGATGATTCATCACTGACTTGCTTGGTTCCCATTTTTGCAATGGGCACTGACACAGGTTCTCTGATTTGCGGCTTTCCAGCAAGACCTGCTTTTTGGAGGTGTTGCAAGAGTGATGTATTTTTGACCCTCTGGACAAATTCCCATGCCTCAGTTTACCTACAAAGAGAGAGGAACAGTGCAGCATTTCCGGGCTGTCACCGCGATGTCAGAGCCAGTATCCTGCAGACTTTTCTGGGATCTGTGCTTCGTCGATGCTGCTCAAAAGTGACACCAGATGCCCCGGTTCTCAAACTGAAGGCACGTGCAAGAGTGATGTATTTTTGACCCTCTGGACAAATTCCCATGCCTCAGTTTACCTACAAAGAGAGAGGAACAGTGCAGCATTTCCGGGCTGTCACCGCGATGTCAGAGCCAGTATCCTGCAGACTTTTCTGGGATCTGTGCTTCGTCGATGCTGCTCAAAAGTGACACCAGATGCCCCGGTTCTCAAATTGAAGGCACATAGCCCATCTGTGGGCTGGGTCAGGACCAGACTTGCACCTTTCAGGCAGGCTGGGTGTGATGAGCCCACAGCCAGACCGATCATGGGGCATCCGGGCAGCGGGTCCCTTCCCTGGAGGGGTTCCACACGCCCTGCAGAGAAACGAACCCCTGGGATCCACCCCAGGACACGCAGAGGCAAGGCGATGGTTGGGCCATGAAACGGTTAAAGCAGTATCGTGTGCTCCCTCCCAATTGTTCTGCAAGGTGTGTTATGACATTTGTACTTCCTCCTGGCAGCCTGCAAGCAGAGGCAGCGAGGGAGAGACTGCAGGGATGCTGCCGATGCTGCTGGCCAAGCTGCCCCCGCCCTGAGGGTCTCTGCTGGGGGGCTCCACCATGGCCTTCCTCAAGCTCATCGGCCGCTGTGCTCTGATACTGCTCCTGGCTGTGCTGTGTGATGTGGCTGGGCTGATCATCCTCCTGCTGGGAGTTTTTGCTCCGCTAAGCTCCTGGGACTTCTTCGTTTACTTGGGAGCTCTGCTGCTGGCCTTCAGCCTCGTCTTCTGGATCTTTTGGTACACATTTAACATCGAGGTGCCCTTTAGGGAGCTAGGTTTTAACTAACTCACCTCTCCAGCAAAGCTAAAATGGAAACTTGCACTTGGAAGAGCAACGTCACATGCTGGGAAGCCCCAAAGCATCATCCAGTTGGTGAAGAGCATCCAAAAAGACCAAAGAGAAGGGCCTGCTGGTCCCCGCAGCATCGACCAGCCACATGGACCCTCAGGGGAAAGGTACCTACAGCTCGGCACCCATGGGAGTGCTTTGCTAGCATTCGGGAGTGCAGAGGTCTTGTCAGGGCAGCCAAACCTTCTTGCTGGTGATGGCCACCCTTCAGGAGTAACATTAGATTTTAGAATGTTCTGGAATGGATTAATGATGGACAGGAACTTGGTTTTGATGAGATGAGCCTGTCTGAGTGAATCTGGGGAGGAGGATTTTGGTGGAAATTGGAGGTGGCTGGTATCTCGGGTTTATGTCCTCGGTTCCTCCCATCAGACGTTGCTGTGAGTTGTGGGTCCTGGAGAGCCGCTGCTCTCTCGTGACAGCTTTTGGCAGTGGAGGGACAGGGAGGGCAAGTGGTCTTCCAGTGATACCACCTGGGCAAACAGAGAAGGTCAATAAGAATAATCCAGATCCAGGCTGTCGCTGAGCGTCAAAACTTCTGTGTAAACGGCATGTGGGTGAGCAAACCTGGCTGCCCCTTGGCATCACCCCATCACACCACTCTGCGCTACTGGGCTGCCCAGCTTGGGAAGGTTTTGCCAGCGGGGAAAGTATTTCCACAGAGGTAATGGGGAACAGGGAAAAACCAAGCAAGCACTGTGTCATCAAGGCACCAGTATGATGCCCTGTACACAGCCTGGTGACAAATACTGTACACACTGAAACTAGGTACAAAGTGCCATGGCTTGTCTAGAACGTGCCTGCTTTGTTTGGCAGTTGCCCAACGGGGAGAAAGATCAGGCACCGTGGACCTTGGCTGGGTTCTGCAAACTGGTCCTACGGCGCACGAGCAGGAGAGACCCACACACTGAGCATCAGCCCCTGCGTCACACGGAGGGGCTGGTGGTGACATCGAAACATCCAGGTCGGCCAAGAGCTGCTTCAAAAGGCTTGGCTTTGGCCTCACCTGTGAGCAGCAACACCATTGCCAAGCTTAGCGGAGGTGGAAATGTCCCTGCTGCTGCATGGACAGCGTCCTGCCTCCTTCCCAGCATCCCAAGGGGATGCTCCTTCCCGGCAGTGTGCTGGCAGGGTTGATGGAGCCAATTAGCCCGAGTTAATTAACGAGCAGCCCCAGAGTGCTCAGAGCTGTATGGTTCATAACAAAAGGATGATGACAGCAGGAGGATGCCCCAGCCAGGAGCTAAGTGTACATCCACACACCAAAAGCCAACCCTTGCCCCAAGGAGATAATGGTTTTATAACAGTACATGAGACAAAGGGAAGGCAGAGATGGGGGAGGTGTCTTCCACGGACACCGGGGGGAGTATCAGAGCTGAGACCAGATTCTCCTCTCTTCAGTTTTGACATCTCAGCCTGGCCAGTGCCCCCAGGCATATAACTCGTGGTGCATAATGCAGGAAGATTGCCAAATGACATGATCCCCATCTGCAAGTCACTCAAGAGAGATTTCCTTGCACAGCTTTTTTTTCTAAAGCCTCTCACAACCAGTGAGAAACATTTTTTATTATTATATACAGATTTTTCTTTATTTCTTGTCTTGTTGGAAGTGACTGCAAGAAGCAGCCAGGAAGTTTTCTCAGTTCTCCGGGGAGGGTGGAAGCTGTAGTGTGAGTCACAGTGGTTTACAGCCCTATACCCGCCAGGATGCCCAGGAGTTCAGCTTTACCCTCCATCACCAGGTCTCAGGGTGCTTTTCCACCCATGTGCCCTTAGGACTACCTCCTCCAAGAATTTCCTTGATGCACCTCCAGATAAGAGCCTGTAACAAGCATTAGTTGGATACTGCAGCTATATATAAGGAAGAGCTGCACTAACCAACACCCTCCTTTATTTGCTCTGGGATTTTTAATTGCCAGTGCTAAGCCTGTTCAAGCCAGCCTGCAGAGCTTGTCTGAGGGCTTTGTCACCATTCAATGTCTGTCCCTTGTTGGGTGCGTGCCTGGGTGCATCGCTTAGGGACAACACCCAGGGAGGTGGTGGCATCACCCAGGGAACACAGCAGGAAGTGGATGCGAGGTCCCCATCACCACTTGTCCCTCCTGCCCCCCAGGCTGGTGGGCCAGATCGCTCCTGAACGGTGCTTGTTGGGGGGCAAAGTGTCTGCCAGCACCTGGCATTGGATGAGCCGGTGCACATCGCCAGCACATGGGTGGGGGAAAGCTTTGGGGTGATGAGGGGTGGAGGGTGATGGTCACGGCCAGGAAAGTGCTGTCAGCCCTCTGTGCCCATACCCCCTGGCATGCACCGATGAGGCTGTATCCAGCTCCAACGAGGAGAAGAGGCCTCCAATGCACCCCACCACACGCCAGCTCTGGGTCAGGGTGCTGCAGACCACAGGGTCCTTCTTGCACTTTTTCCCCTCTCCAGTTCATCTGTGCTCTCTGATAGGGACCCAGCTCGCATGGCTCCAGGCGGGACGAGCACCGTTCCCCAACGGGATGCACAAGCCAAGCCCAAACATGCCTCTGTATCTGTGTGTGTGTGTGTACAAGGTGCCTCCAACACCTTTCACCTCCGGGCAGCTGGCACAGAGGGTCACAAGCACAGCCAGGACATGGTGCCTTCAGTCCCCCCGGTGCAGGGACAGAAGCAATTAGCCAGACCCACTGCCCAGAGGGAAAATATCCCACTCACGGTGTGTGCCCATGGCAGGGCACCGTGGTATTTCTCTCACCTCCCTGTCCCACCTTCTCCTGTGGTGGACACCCATGAGCCTGCACACCCTAGCACCTCCAGAGCACTGTCTCTGATGGTCTCCAATGCTCCTTTCCACCCCAGAAACATAGATGCCTCCTTCTTCTGCTGTCCCCAAAGCACACTGTCTGGAGCAGAGTCCATCCCTGCCAGGGCCAGCCGCACCAATGGCAGGATAAGCACGAGTGAAGCATCTGTGAGTCCCGGTCCCTCGGAGGCTCGGTTCTGCACAGCACTGGGAGAGCTGGCCCAAGCCCAGCACGTTATTGACCCAAGAGCTTATCTTTAACCGTTGGGTTTTTGTGGTTTTGTACTCGGTCTGTTTTCTCCAGGCTGCTGGGGCTGTTTTACAGCCATGGGCACGGCATAGCCCTGTGGCTATGGCACAGCACCCATGCGTGCAGGGCACTGGGAACCAGCAGCCCTCCTCTGCTCCCTGACAAGCCTCTGTTCCCCAAGTCACCCCACTGACCTGAACAGCCTGACACTGAAAAACAGCACCATCCAGCTCTTTCTGCCCTGATACTTTAACCCCAAAATGCTGTGGAAGGGCGTGCCAGGGGTCCCCTGTCGCGACTCGTGCACGGTCTCAGGAGTCTGCGCTCCCTTGCACCCCTTCCCCTGTATGGCACCACAGCCACAACACCCCCCACTCTGCACCGGGGGAAGCATCAGGGGAAACACCAGCCCTGGCAATGTCAAGTGTTTGCTTATGTGTCTGTATCTTAAAAAAAAAAATAATAAATCTTCCTTTTGTGACCAAATACTAGCAGCCTTACTCATCCCCTGACCTGGGCTGATCCCAAATATCGCTAGGCAGCCTAGGACATCCAACTCAGAAGCTGACATTGCTGCCTCTGTGGGCATCCCGGACATCATGGAAATTCTGCTTGTCACCCAGACATAAGTCTGCTGGTGCGTCTGTGTTGGATCTGGCTGGTGGTCATTAGTCCCCTGAGTCCCCGTGTTTTGATTTTACATGACTTTATTGGAGAGATCTTGAATTTCTTAGGTATCATCAGGGTCTGTTAAAGTATTCACATTTCTTTTCACCATCTATTTATAGGGAAACAGAAAAGGACCAGAGTGTAAGGAGCAAGCACACAAAGAGGAGTAGCACTGAACAAGGACTTGGTTGTGCTACTCTTGCAAACCCATCACTGACAATACAGAGAGAGGTGTGCTACACTGCTCTGCTGCGTGCGTCGTTCTCTGGGCACAGGTCCTCGAGACATCCCTTGAATGGTGGATGCTGGTTTTGCGTCCTCTCCAAGCAAATCACACTCACTCCTGCCCACTGCCATTGTCTCAGAGAGACCAGCACAAGCAACGTGGGAGCTGCGGAGCCACTGCAAGTGGTCCTGTCTGTGGGCTGGTGCAGATGGGCAGGATTGGGCCGACAGGCTGGAGCAGTTCTGCAAACCTCACCGAATGGATGTGAAGAACTGGTACAACAGGGGTCACAGCTGGAGAGACCACCTGAGATGCTGCTGGCTCCCCCGCTTGGGGACCTCGTCCATATGTTGAAGCATTCAACAGGAGAGGGAGACAACGAAATCGACAGGACAGAGGATTTCCTAGGCAAAATTCAGCTGCTGGCTGGATAAAACTCTTAGATACATTTTATCTAATCTTACCAAGGTCCCAGGCATTTTCTAAGTGGCACTTAATGAAATGCTCAGAAGATCTTGGTTCAAAGAACTACTGGAGCCATGGACAGCTGCAAAGGCCAGGCAAGGGTTTAGTGCTTCAGCTGTCAAACTGGTGGTGGCTCAACATAGAACCAAACTTCCTGTCTGACTCAAAATACAAATCTCAGGTGGGAGGAAAGGAGACCAAAAGACGCACATCTCCATCCTCTGGTGTTCCTGATGCAGTGTTCAGCTGACCACACAGACTCTTGTGCAGGATGGAAGCACATAACCACCTATCAAACAGGTCGTTCAGCACTTTCCATTACAGACACCTCTTTTCAGTTGTTTACAACTTCACCAAAGTTTATTTCTTTGTGATTTCCCATCATGGAGAATCTGCCTTTGACCTTAATATTTCTATGATTCTATGCATTTTAGCCCCTTGGGCAATAGCAATAGCAGGGGGGTCTGTGGGCAAGTTGTACACAGTGAGAACTGCTGATTTGTGGACATATGGCAGCTCTTCTCTGTCTCTGGTTCCTAGGG